CCCAGCTATAGGGGAGGGGGCTATGACAGCCTTAGCTGTAGGGACTGGGATATAGGGGAGCAGGCTGGGGTACCCCCCCCGCGTACAGGGGAGGAGGTGTGGGTGTGACAGGGTATAGAGGAGGGGGCTCAGACACCCCCCTTGGGTACAGGGGCTGGAGTACAGGTGTGACCGACTGTAGGGGAGGGGGCTGAGATACCCACTGCTACAGGGATGAGGGTATAGGGGAGGGGGTGTAACTGTGCCCCCAGCTGTAATGGAGGGGGCTGGGGTACCCCTGGGTGTAAGGACTGGGGTGTAGGAGAGGGGGCTGTGAACCCCCTCTGGTACAGGGGAGGGTGTGTAGGTGTCTCAGGGTATAGGGGAGGGGGCTCAGATACCCCCCTTTTGAGTATGGGGACTGGGGTACCCCTGGGTATAGGGACTGGGGTGTAAGGAAGGGGGCTGGGACACCCCTGGCTGTAGGGGCAGGGGTATAGGTGTGACCAACTCTAGGGAAGGGGGCTGTGACACCCCCAGCTATAAGGGCAGGGGTAGAGGTGTTCCCCGGCTATAGGGAAGGGGGCTGTGACCCCCTTGGCTATAAGAGCAGGGGTATAGGTGTGACCCAGCTATAGGGGAGGGGTCTGTGATGTACCCCCCTGAAGCTCTAGGAGCTGGGGTATAGGTGTTCCCCAGCTATAGGGGAAGGGCTGAGACACCCTCCCCCCCCTCGTGAGTATATGGGGTGGGACACAGCCAGACTCCCCCATAGAGAGGGGTCTGGGAGCCCCCGCTGTGGGGCCTGGGTCACAGTCAAACCCAGGCTGTAGGGAGAGGGGCGAAACCCCCCACCCCCCAAGCTATAGGGGCTGGGACACAGATATTCCATGGCTGTAGGGACTGGGACACAGATATTTCATGGCTGTAGGGGCTGGGACACAGATATTCCATGGCTGTAGGGACTGGGACACAGATATTCCATGGCTTTAGGGGCTGGGACACAGATATTCCATGGCTGTAGGGGCTGGGACACAGATATTCCATGGCTGTAGGGGCTGGGACACAGATATTCCATGGCTGTAGGGGCTGGGATGCTGGGGGGGCTCCAGCTGTGGGGTGAAGGACTGGGGACACGGCTGTAGCTGCTGGGGGAGAGGGTGGGCAGCTCTGCCCCCTCCCCACCCCCAGGGGCAGGACGCAGCTGTAGGACGGGGGCTGGGACCCCCCAGCTCTCCCCATCCATAGGGGATGGGTGGGATTTTCCAGGGCTCTCCGGCTGGAAGGGCTTCCTGGCTACAAAGTGTTCCTGCCACCCTTCCCCAAGGCCTGGATGATGGGGGGTTGTTCACTCAAAGCTTTGCTCGGGGGCTGTGGTGACCCAGGGCAGACCCCGCGGGAGAAAAGGCCCGCTGCCGGCTGTGCCGGGGCTGGGGAACATCCCGGAGGAAAAACTCCCGGGAAGCCACTGCCAGGAGCTCTGCTTGGGGGGTCTCTGCCATCTCCCTCCCCGGGGGGCTACAAAGAGCTTTGGGTGTGAGCCTGGAGCCCGGGTGGGCTGGGACGCGGGGCTCAGCTCTGGTTTTTGGGGCTCGGCTCTGGGGGGGTCCTGGGGGGAGCCCCTGGCAGCGCAAAGGTCCCCGCGGGGACGGGTCGGGTTGTTTTCCGTGGGGTCC